CACTGGCTAAAAATCATCCCCTAAACACAGAATTGTATTGCCCTCCCTGTGTTCCAAAGGCAGAGAGAACAGACCAACACAGTATGAAGTTTGCTTCAGCTTCACAGACCGACATGGAGCCTGCAGGAAAGTTGTAGCTGGACTTTTAACACTGGAAACAGCACTTCCTGAATTGGACTTGCGTTTTTTTATTAATGTTGTGTTTGGATCATAAGAAGACTCAATTCAGCCAGGCTGACTTAAGACATTAAATGACTAGTTAACCATATACACTGATCACATAAACATGGTTTGTGGAATGATAGAAAATGGTTTATGAAATCATTTTTAAGCCATCTTTTCAACAGTAATTGTATCAGTCCTGTCATACTTTAAACCAAGCGATATTGGCAAGAATGAGCCTGAGGGTCTTTAATATTCCGATGATCATCATGCAAAATTGCCACTGCAATAAAATGACAGGGTCGTGTTCATTTCCTTCTTCCGTTGCACTTTGCGTTCTTCCCTTTCAACATTACAACACGCTTCCTAACATTTCATCATGGGAGAAGGCTGCATAAGTTTCCAGTTGCTGTAATTCAGTTAAACCATAAAATTGTTTCCAGATTACCAACCATTAAACGGAAAGACAATCTTATTTATGAATTTATAAATCAGATAATGTTCCCAAAATGAATCCTGAAACCAGACACACTTTGACCATTAAATAGGGAAAATGTTTTCTCATTACCATGTGTCAAAAGAATTGCAGTTTTGTAAAGTGGCTTTGGCCAAAACAATAGAGCATACACATGTATTCAGTGCTCTGTGTACTGCCTGCTCCCACCGTGGAGAGAACTGCCCTCCTCTACTGTCAAGCATCTGAACTCTCCAGCGGGGATGTCAGATGAGAAGCCACCTGACTCAGTATCTCTGATGCATTGTCTTTTTCCAGGTGACCTTGCAGGTGACATCCCCTGCAAGAGGCCACTAAGGGAGCTTTTGCTCCCTTCCTCACAGATAAAAACTGAAGAGCCAAGCATGTGGGTAGCTGGAGTGGATTTAGCCCTTTTGATCTAAAAGCATCAAAACTCTTATCCCAGGCAGTTCTGCAACTCTGTCAATATCAGTCCTAAAGAAGAATAGGATGTTGTTTGGGGGTTGTCTCTCTCTCCATCCTAAAACTGTTATCTCGTGGGAACCCAGGGTAGAAGCTGAATACTCAGAGCCAAGGAATATGCCAAAGGCGTGTCTGCAGCCCCATGGACTCCCACGTGCAGATGACGTGGTCTGTGTTGTAACATTCTATAGTTCTAACCTTGAGGATGAATCGGAGGACCAATGTTCTTTTCTTTATCCAGAATGATTCAGGTGCTTTGTTTTCTTTTTTCTTTTTTTTTTTTTTTTTTTGATACAAAGTCTTACTGTTGACCAGGCTGGAGTGCAGTGGGGCAACCTTCGCTTACTGCCACTTCTGCCTCCCCAATTCAAGTGATTCTCCTGCCTCAGCCTCCTGAGTAGCTGGGATTACGGGTGCCTGCTACCACACCCAGCTAATTTTTGTATTTTTAGCAGTGACGGGGTTTCACCATGTTGGCCAGGCTGGTCTTGAACTCCTGACCTTAAGTGATCTGCCATTTTGGTCTCCCAAATTGCCCCAATTATGAATGTGAGTCACCGCACCCAGTTTTGATTTTTAATACTGTTGCTCTCCTTTCTTGGACAACATAATGAAATCTGTTGACCAGCCTGGGAGGAGAAAGAAGGCTGACCTAGCTCTAACCAGCCTTGTTCTTCTGGCCAGCAATGGAAACCCAGGACTCCCCTCTGCCATTTCTCTCTTAGCAGAGTCTCATTTAGTCTCTACATAAATGAGACCTACCAGCGGGGCGTGGTGGCTCATGCCTGTAATCCCAGCACTTTGGGAGGCTGAGACAGACAGATCACGAGGTCAAGAGATCAAGACCATCCTGGACAATGTGGTTAAACCCCATCTCTACTAAAAATGCAAAAATTAGCTGGGCATGGGGGCGCATGCCTATAGTCCCAGTCACTTAGGAGGCTGAGACAGAATAGCTTGAGCCCAGGATGTAGAAGTTGCAGTGAGCAGAGATTGTGCCACTGCACTCCAGCTTGGGCAACAGAGTGAGACTCTATCTCAAAAAAAAAAAAAAAAAAAAAAAAAAAAAAGAGGCCTACCTATTTCTCTCATCTCTTAATATTACTGTCTTCTGCATGTGCTAAGGTTGTCATCATGCCTTCCTATCCCACACTCCAGCTGTACAGAACCCTTTAAGCCACTTCCTTACCAAAGCTGTCTAGACTCTAAAAATGCCATGTTACCTTTTTTATTCTTAAAGAAATATCCTTTGCATTTGCCTGGGATTGAAGAAGAGCAGTAAACTAGTGCATCTCAAGGTAGCTCTGAATGCAACTCTGTTCTTAGGGTCATTCATTTTATTTCAGCACCACTGTGGATAGAGTCCCTGTGGGATGGATGAGGGCACTGGGCAACTTTCACCTGGGACTGAGCATTCTCCTGAGGAAATCATTCATATCTCAAGATATGAATGTGCAAGTCTGTGTCTCCCATGTGGTAGGAAGAGTGAGCACCACCACCCCCATTTTTTCTGCCATACCATTGTGACTTGGGCCAATCAGGTTGAGATTTCCAATGGATATTTACTAACCTGCTTTCCTTATTTGAATTTCTTACAATTTTTTTCCTTGTCATGTGGACTGTTTTATGGCAAAGAGGACACCAAGGTATGACTGAAATGCTGTATGGCTGAGAGGTTTAGCATCAGCTGGTATACCTGGAAACATTTGCAAGTCACTTCGTGGAGATACGTTTCCATTTGAGATTTGAGATTTCTTCCATTTATTTCTCACAATTTGAGATCTCTTCTTTCCACTTTATTACAGCAGCGGGATCATACTGTAAATACTTAAATTATTTGGGTTTCTTTTTCCTCTTTGGTGGATTTGCAACCTTTAACTATCCAGACTGTATGACTTACATACAAGAAACTTGGTATTGTGACAGACCATCAGTTTTAAACTAAAGAAAATGCATGGAGTCCTGACATCAGAAGCTTGCAATTACAAAATTAAGATCAGTGTTACATGTAGCACTGAGAGTTACATTCCAAAGGCAAAACTCAAGGCCTCAGTGCTTGAGTTGGACACAATTACCCTTGAATATCACCTTGATTGTCATAAAGTTCAGGATACAGATGCACCGTCTCTCAAAAAGAGCCCAACTAAATCAGTTGGCTTTTTGTAGTGAAAGAACAGACCATCATTACTTTTTTTTTTTTGAGACCAAGTCTCATATTGTCACCCAGGCTGGAGTGCAGTGGCACAATCTTGGCTCACTGAAGCCTCCGCCTCCTGGGTTCTGGCAATTCTCCTCCCTCAGCCTCCCAAGTAGCTGGGATTACAGGCATGCACCACCATGCCCAGCTAATTTTTGTATTTTTAGTAGAGACGGGGTTTCACCATGATGACCAGGCTGGTCTTGAACTCCTGACCTCAGGTAATTCACGCACCTCGGCCTCCCAAAGTGCTAAGATTACAGGCATGAGCCACCATGCCCAGCCAGACAGGCCATCATTACTTTTTTTTACTAAGTATCAGATAAACTTGCCAGCTTGTATTTAATAGTGTAAGAATATACTGTTTGCAGCACGGGAATCCCATCACTCACATACCCAGAGGCCTGTGAGACTGAGACCCACAGTGAGGAGTGAGGTCCCCTCTCCTATCTCAGGCTCCTGCAAGGACGCTCACTCATGAGGGATATCAGCACAGGCGATGCCACAGGCCATTTAAATTTTTCTCTCTCTCCTTTTCCTGTTTTAAACTACAAGTAGGCAGGACTGAATTCACTCAGGTGACATAGGACTCCTCTCTTCACTTAGTTGTATTGTTATGTTTAACAATGTGTTGAAAACAATGACAATAGTTCAGTGAAAAAACGTCCATTGTCTGAGGTCTAGAAATGTGAGCCTTTTTCCAATGCCAGTTAAACTGTAAAGAAGCATCGGAGAACCCTGAAGCGAGGAATGGTATCTGTACATAGGAAATCATTGGGAAATCTTCCATTCACATCTTCAGACGACCAAGCTGTTAGGGATATTCATTTTCCTGTGTGATTCTGTGAAAGCCTCCAGGCCCAAGCTCCTATGACATTAGATCCAACATCATCTACCTTCGATACATGTGTTTCCTTTGTTGGTTGGTTGGTTGGTTGGTTGGTTTTTTTGGTTGTTTTTTTTTTTTTTTTTTTTTTTTGAGACAGATTCTCACTCTGTTACCCAGTCTATTGTTCAGTGGCGTGATCTTGGTAGTAGAGAGAGAGTTTTACCATGTTAGCCATGCTGATCTCAAACTCCTGACCTCAGGTGATCCACCCACCTTGGCTTCCCAAAGTGCTGAGATCACAGGGTGAACCACCATGCCCAGCCAGATTTCAGTCATATTTCTCCATGGTCTAAAGAAGAGATGTGTTTGTGTTGCCCTTCAGCCGTAACACAAGTGTTGCAATCCACACAGCAAACATCTTCACCATTTACACCAAAACCACTCAGCAGCCTTCCAGCTGTGGTATATAGCATAGAAATGTGTGCAGCTAGGCAAGACCTGGCCTGGGACACCACCATGCTAGGGAACAGCCCTGTTGTGCAAGGTGAAATAAAGAAAGCGGGGCAGAAAGACTCAAAAACACAGGATGCGCAAACAGGAGTGCTTCCGAGGGAGATGGGGTTTTCATTTTTCCCAGAGGCCCCTGTTGGTCCATGCTGTCTTTTCAGGGAAGTTACTTGCTTGATACAGAGCAGTGATCATGAATCCTGACCTCAGCTGGGGATGTGCAGGTTCTTCATGTTCCTGAGCCAGGTTAGGTGAACTTCCATGGCCTTCTAGATGGTACCTTTTATAACCCTCAGGTGGTTCATTCACCTGGACAAACCGGTCTGAAAGTCAATAGAGCTTTAACAAACGATTCTCTTGTTTTACAGAGAGAGGATGCAAGCCATGGAGAAACAGATTGCCAGTTTAACTGGCCTTGTTCAGTCTGCGCTTTTTAAAGGGCCCATTACAAGTTATAGCAAAGATGCATCTAGGTAAAAAAGAAGAAAGCCAATGAAAAAAGCAATTCAATCTGTTTCTCTTTTAATCATTAAGATAATTCATTCATTCAAATCTGTTTCCTTGTAATCATTTCAAGGCTGAAAATATTCACATCTCTAGGAATCATGGGCATTTTGTTTTTGTTTTTGTTTTGTTTTTTTTCCTCCTTCTGGTAATTCTTGGTCGAAGGTAACACTTTGGCCCAAGAAGGTAAAGGGGCTTCCCAGTGCATGTGGCTTCATGGACCACTCACCGTGCAGTGCCTGCAACCACCAGCCTTGCGTGTCCATGTCGCCATCATCTGAAAGTCACGAGTGAGCCTGGCTGCATTCCACCCTCAGTGTCAGGTGCACACCTGGGAAGCCTTTTCCATCCTGGCCAGTTGTGATGCTGATGCTAAAAGACCTTCATTGCTTAATCCCATCACTGCCAATTGCTTCAAATAGTGAACGGAATGGGTTTTAAAAAAAGGCATTTTGGAAACTGCATAGCTGACTCTCTTTTTCTTTTATTCAGCGAGAAAATGATGAAAACCACAGCCAACAGGAACCACACAGATAGTGCAGGTAAGTGTTTTTGGAGCTGTAGGAGACCCGTGGGCTGCCTGGGATGAGCCGTGGCTGGTCTCAGAAATGTTTAACATTTCCCGAAGTCACTTCTTTGGTATGATGTCAGAGGATTCCTGGATGCCCACACCTTTCCTGCGAATGCCAAAATTCCAGATGTATTCATTACTTCAGGGGGCAAAGCACTGTCTTCTTCCTTCAGTTTTCATTCATTCACTCACTTACTCATTTGTTCATTGACATGGCCATACAATGGACATCTTGCAGACACAGGGTGGCCTACCTAGAACTTGGATTCAATGGGGAAGAGGAAAATGGGACAAGTAGTTTTATGTGTGTTGAGTGTTTAAAATTGCAGGATAAATATTTCAGCAATAGGACTAGCCTATACTGAGGACATTCCCTGGAGGAAGTGACACAAACTGAGCCCTGAAGAGGACTTAAGGGAAAGAAGCGGTGGCCAGTCAAGGGAATTTAAAATTGTTCTAAGTGCAAAGTGCAGCCCTTGGAAGGTTGTACACTGGGGAGGGACATCAGCCCAACTGCAGTATGGGGTTGAATGAGAAGGGACAGTAGCAATAAAGAATGACCAGTGTCCAGATGGGAGAAGAAGAACTACTTGGTCTAGGGTCTGCTTTTTTTTTTTTTTTTTGAGACAGAGTTTCACTCTTGTTACCCAGGCTGGAGTGCGATGGCACAATCTCGGCTCACCGCAACCTCCGCCTCCTGGGTTCAGGCAATTCTCCTGCCTCAGCCTCCTGAGTAGCTGGGATTACAGGCACATGCCACCATGCCCAGCTAATTTTTTATATTTTTAGTAGAGACAGGGTTTCACCATGTTGACCAGGATGGTCTCAATGTCTAGACCTTGCGATCCACCTGCCTCGGCCTCCCAAAGTGCTGGGATTACAGGCTTGAGCCACCGCGCCTAGGGTCTGCTTTTTATTTTATCTCTTTAATGTCATGACAGATGATCAGGCCTGCTTTTTAAATGCCAGCATTCCCCAAAAAGAGAACTCAGTTCCATTAGTAGTGGCGTTCACTCATATCCAGGTCTTTGCAATGAAAGTTTCATCTTGCAGTCTCAAGCCAGGCCTCTGCAAGAAGATGAGGTCTTCCCTCCCATCGGGTTAGAAATAGAAATCCTTAACAGGAACACATTCAGATACTAAATTACACAGAAAGCATATGGCAAGTTGGGTGAAACCCCAAATTTAGGGAAGCCACGTGTACTGGTTTTGTGCAGCATGGTAGAGTAGACAGAATTTGTGACTTAAGTTTAGGGTGCTGTTGGTCGTGGTTCTCCTCTGGCTGAGCACAGTTTAGCTACAAGGCCAACAGGGCCGCTCTGCCAGCACTCCTGATCCTGACAGGATTTGTTGTTTTGCTTAGAAATCAATCAGTGGCCTTGGCCGAAGCCAGAGAATTATTTCACGGAAATTGCTAAACTTGTCTTCAGAGCAATTGCCAGTTTGTTTTGGAGATACTTAATTCATTCATTTTTTAAAATTTATTGTAAACTTAGGGAGAAGAAAGGAAACTACTAAATACGAAAACCTCCCATCCTTCTGTAATCCCTTCTAGAAATGATTCATATGGGAGCGCACTGCTCTCATCAATATGTACGTGATATTTTTCCTTTTTTTCTTCTTGCTTTTTAGAAAATAATAATAAATATGTAGTGAGTGCTTCCTGTGCACTTTTCATGCATTCACTCATGAACCCCTTACCGCCAGCATCCAGGGAACGGTACAGTTTTTATCCTCACTTTCCAGAGGAATAAACTGAACACAGGCCAATACACGTGACACACATCATCACAGTCCACATGCCTGTCATTTTAACTCCTCCTTTTGTGTTAAGATGCCCTAGTCCCTTTAAAGATATATAGGTTGTTTCATTTCTTTGTTCTAAAAAATCTTGTCAATTTCTTTTGAAATGTGGAGAAAGGAGCCAGTGTCATTTCCTCAGATACATTTCCCAAAGTGGAATCGGTGAGTTCAAGGGGACAGTTCGGTGACACCAGCGACACGCTGCTGGTTTCCTCCTCTGAATGGCTGGGCTGATTTGCAGCGCCGCTGGCAACATGCCCATGGACTCACTCCCCACGTCCCTTCTAGGTTTGGACTTTCTTACTCTAACAGATCAGGGCGAGATACTGTCCACAGGGGCTTCGTTGCCATAGCAGCCTTGTATAGTGCACAAAATATAATACTTCCAGAATCCTAGGAAGTAAGCTACAAGACAAGTATTATCCCTGTTCTGTAGACAAGTAAACGGAATTATATAGAAGTCAAGGAACTCATTTGGCCGAGGGTAAAGGAAAACCCAGACTTTCTGGTTACTGTAGGAATGTGAGGTTTACTGTGGAAAGAGAACAGAAGAAACCTCCCATCTCAAAGGCTTTTATACTGTGCATTAGATCATTTAACACAAAAAACCCTATAAGGAAGATGTCATTACCCATATTTTACCTATATTTTACTTGAAAGGAAACAGAAACTCAGGGAGATTAGATTAGTTATCCAAAGCTACATAGCTAGTAAGAGTGACAGCCAGGCCAGGCATGGTGGCTCATGCCTATAATCCCAGAACCTTGGAAGGCTCAGGTAGGAGGGTTGCTTGAAGCCAGGAGTTTGAGACCAGCCCTGACAGCATTGCAAGACCCCGTCTCTCCAAAAAATAGGCGTGGCAGTACATATTTGTAGTTCCACGTACTTGGGAGGCTGAGGTGGGAGGATTCCTTGAGCCTGAGAAGTCAAGGCTGCAGTGAGCCAAGATTACTGCACTCCAGCCTGAGTGACAGAGCAAGACTTTGTCTCAAAAAAAAAAAAAAAAAAAAAAAAAAGACAGGCTGACTGGCTGATGCTTGAGTAGATGCTGATGTCATTGGCTAAAATTAGGCCCATATTATAATGCACATTGGAGACTCAGAAGCAGGGAGGGCAGGACGGGGTGAGGAACAGAAAACTACAAATGGGTTACAAGGTACACTATTCGGATGATGGGTGCAGTAACATCTCAGACTTCACCACTATACAATTCATCCATGTAACCAAAAACTACTTGTACCTCAAAAGCTGTTGAAATTAAAAAAAAAAAAAAAAAAAAAAAAAAAATTTATATATATATATATATATATATATAAAATAAAATAAAATAAAATAAAATTAGGCCCATAGAGACAGAAAGGTTTTTTTTGGGAAGACAAGCAGAAATATGAATTTGACTTGCTAATGGAGAAGTTCAGTAGTGAGGTGAAGGCACTGGCACATGGATCTGAAGATAATTGTGTGCTGCAGACGAGGATGCGGGAGACTTTGGCAGGTGGTGGTAGCAGAAGTGACCTCCCCATGTCCACCAAGAAAAGAAGCAGACCCAGGGACACAACACAGCAGGACTTAAAAGGTTAGCAGAGGAAGGAGTTAGAAGAGAGTGACCAAGATGGAGCGGCAGAGAGGGAAGAAGATGATGGAAAGTTTCAAAGTGACTGAAAAGAAAAGAAGTGGCTGACAAAGCTCAGTTTCACATTGAAGCAAAGTCACGTCAGGCCAGGGGACAGTCCACACGGTTGTCAACCAAAATATCGCTGAAATGAACATAAAGAGTCATTTCAGAAAATTATGGAGCTATTACCTGAAATATAGTGGATTCAGAGGATGTGCACGTGAAATGAGTGTAGATTCCATAAGGAAATTTGGTTGTTGGCTGGACATGGTGGCCTATGCCTGTAATCCCAGAACTTTGGGAGACCGAGGCAGGAGGATCGCTTGAGGCCAGGAGTTCAAGACTAGCCTGGGAAACATAGCAAAACCCTGTCTCTACAAAAAATACAAAAAAATTAGCCAAGCGTGGTGGCACATGCCCATAGTCCCAGCTTTGGGAGGCTGAGGTAGGAGAATGACCAGAACCCAGGGAGATTGAGGCCCAGAGGATTGCTCCACTGCACTTAAGCCTGGATGACAGAGTGAAACTGTGTCTCAAAAAAAAAAAAAAAAAAAATGGGGTCGTGAAAGATATTTTCTCAAACCAGTTATCAGAATTCAAAAACAACTGGTTCCCAGTCTTCAGCCTTCCCTCCATGGATAAAAGATTGAAGGGAAGGAGGGACCTTGGTGCTCTCAGGAGAAAGAGGTAAAGTAAGAATGCGTGACTTCCTTTGGCTGAGGGATTAGCAGAACAGATCTTAGTGGCAGACAGAAGGTAGCACAGTGTCAGCTTTGTTGGAGAAATACCTTGTTATCAGAAATGATGTGGCATGTTGTGAGTGTGTGTGCACACACACATATTTGCACACACCCACATGTGCCTATGCCTCTCTGTATAAGGAGTGATGATAAAGTAATTTGACTGATTCTATAAGGAAACTTCCAATGGAGTGTGGTGAGAATCACTGACGTTGGAAGGCACTGTTAATTCTAACATGCAGCTGTCATTGGAAATGTTACCAGACTTGTTTTGCATGTTTTGCTCGGTACTTTCACAGTTAGAGAAAATCCTTTTTAACAATGGCAGAGATGGCAAACCTTGTTCTTTTGAGAATGATTTTGATTTGAGGGTGGAGGAACTGCCAAAAGTTGGTCAGAGCCATGACTGCTGATGATATCAGTGACCATTTATGCTTAGAAACATAACATGGCCAGGCACTGTGGCTCATGCCTGTAATCCCAGCACTTTGGGAGGCCAAGGCGGGAGGATCACCTGAGGTCAGGAGTTCGAAACTAGCCTGGCCAACATGGTGAAACCCCATCTCTACTAAAAATACAAAATTAGCCGGGTGTGGTGGTACACACTTGTAGTCCCAGCTACTAGGGAGGCTGAGACAGGAGAATCTGTGGCCGAGATAGTACCACTGCACTCCAGCCTGGGAGAGAAAGAATGAAACTCCATCGGAAGAAAGGGAGGGGAGGGGAGGGAAGGGAAGAAGGGAGGGAGAGGAAGGAAAGGAAAGAAGGAAAGAAAGAAAACAAAAAGCTTGCAATCGGTCTCCTGGAGCTCCATTGTCAGCCCTTTAAAGTGCCTTCTGGCCTGCTGCTCTGCTTGCTCCCCAACGGGACCATTAGAGGGGCTGGAGACTGGCCCTATTCCGATGGTCACTCAAGGATGAAGAGCATGGGGCACGAGCAGCATCAGTGTTGCCAAGGCCAAGCAAGAAAGAGGACAGTTGCAGGGAACTCCCTGGCTCATGAGTGCACCACTATGAGCTCCACTGAGGCCTGGCTGAGTTGTGTGTGCTGGGGAGGGAAAGGTTCCCGAAATGGCTGAGGCAGGATAGAAAAACAGGCTACCACCACGCTATAACCACTCCAGGGTCTGCAAGTGACCAGCAGTGCTCTGTCCTGCAAGGCCAGCTTGTCCTGTGACAAAGCTTCCACTTGACTATTCTTGACTATTTACAGGAAAGGGAACTGGAGTGGGAGAGTTTATTAGTAACATAGATCCAGCCTTTACTCTGGGCACCTGTTCCATAAAATCACATTGTCCTTTCTAGAATCTAGCCTTTTTTTTTCTTACCAAAGGAGTGTGTGCAGATGCCCTCCTTCTTTTGATTTTGGAAATCTGAAGGAATTTGGGACAGTACCCAGTTTTTACTAATTTCCCCTTGGTGATTGGCCAAATCTCTGCCCAGAAATAAGTTGCATGTTCTTAGGTTACATTTGCCACACAGGAAATAGTCGCATAAGCATCCTATATTAGGTTTCAGAATTTTAAAATTATTTTCTTCTATTATAATATTGCAGATATTCAGTGTGCAGATTTTAAAAATACAAAAAGTGGCCGAGTGCAGTGGCTCACGCCTGTAATCCTAGCTCTTAGGGAGGCAGAGGCAGGAGGATAGCTTGAGCCCAGGAGTTCGAGACCTGCCTGGGTAATACAGTGAAACCTTGTTCTCAAAAAACTGAATAAGTAAATAAATAAAAATTAGTTTAAAATAAACCCTCATATTGGGATACCGCAGGAGGAGATACCTTTAACACTTTCGTTTTATACACTTCTAAGCTTTTATCTGTGCACACCTGTGTGCACAAGAACACACTCTTCTTCCAGAGGTTAAGAAAATTTAAAAAATTTAAAAAAAACAAAAGAGATTGATCAATTGATAGATCAATCCATCAATAGATAGGGGCATAGGCAGCTCTGCGGCCTGCCTTCCTATGGCACTTTCTTACTAAACTTCTGGATTTTTTTATTTTTTCCGCACTGCATACTATAATACTATATGATTGATACATATATATATATATATATATATATATATATATATATGCATACTTTTTGTAATGAGAGAGGTGGGCCTTTTTAGAGTTACCAGCTACCTGTATTGGGATGGGACGTATAGCTTAGACTTTCCTTTGCAGCCTCTGAGTTCTGTGCTGCACTCTTCTCATAGGAACTCCCCATGTGTCTGGTGGGAAGACGCTCAGTGCTCTGGAGTCCACGGTGCCTCCCAGCCAGCCTCCACCTGCGGGCACCTCGGCCATCCACATGAGCCTGATTGAGATGAGGCGGAGCGTGGCGGAACTCAGGCTCCAGCTCCAGCAGATGCGGCAGCTCCAGGTATTCCTCATGCATGGCGGCCTCTGTCTCAGTTGCCCTGGGCTCTTCCTACCTTCCTTTTCCTAGGGGCTCCACAAAGACCTAGAAAATGTAGAACCATAAGAGCATAGCTTCCTCTCACACACACAGTCCAGGTCTAGAGCCTTCCACTGCAACTACAGTCAATCTGTAACCACTTCTTTAAGCTGGGCGTGCTTTTACGCAGGAAAAGACTCTTGGGCATCTCCTTTTGGAGAAGAGCCGAAAGGAGAGGGACCCCAGGGAGCGCCGACAGCCAGTGAAGGCTGCCTTCTGACAGCTTGTAGGCTCCATCCGCCTCCACACCAAACAGCCACAAAGGTGGATAGTCAGCCAAGCTTTTTCTTTTCTTTTCTTTCTTTTTTTTTGCAAGGATCTGTGATGTATTTAGAACTATGAGTTTAGAATAGAAGATGAATTCTTAAGGAAGGAAGCCACCATGGTGACTTGTTAAGAAAAACATCTGCATTTCATTTGGATGTGGCCATCCTTCCCTTGCTCTGTTCCATTTTTAAGGAATATATAAACTCCAAGGAATCAGAGTAAATGACCCTTCAGGTCACGAATCTTGGTCAATAAATCCCATAAATCTTCCAAAGCAGAATAAGCTGTCTCCTGGTTCTGGGTAATAAGGAGATAGAGATGGGCATCCCTGCGTGAGACCACTCATTTGCTCTGTGCACCTCCTCCCACCTCCCTGCCCTGGATGGTAGGTTGGGCATGGAGGATATGGCACTGGCCTGGGCTCTATGCAGGCATCCTCCCTGATTTCCAGAAGCTCATAATCCAAATATTGCTAGAGGATAGGGCCAGGTGCTGTGGCTCACACCTGTAATCTCAGCACTTTGGGAGGGCAGGTGGATCATTTGAGGTTAGGACTTCAAGACCAGCCTGGTCAACATGGTGAAACCTCATTTCTACTAAAAATACAAAAATTAGCCAGGCATGGTAGTGTGAACCTGTAGTCCCAGCTACTGAGACGCCTGACACACCAGAATCACTTGAACATGGGAGGCGGAGATTGCAGTGAGCCGAGATAGCACTGCTGTACTCGAGCCTAGGAAATAGACTAGGACTATGTCAAAAAAAAAAAAAAAGAAGAAGAAGAAGAAGAATAAAAAGGAGGAGGAGGACAGAGAAGAGAGAAGAGGAAGAAAAATATATTCAGAATCTTGGAGCAGCCACGGGATGCAACCTCCTGAGCCCTTTCCTCTAATAGGAAGAAGACTTCCAGTCAAAGTTCTTCTTCAGCACAGCGATGACACAAGCCCCCTGTTGTTTAACCACCTAATGAAGGCTAAGAAAACAATTTCCCCTTGCCCTCTGCCTACCAGAGAACACACAGAAAGGCAGCTGGTTTGAGAGACCCAAGGCCCCAGCATGGCTTATGAGTGTTGCTAGAATAGCGAGTGCTCAGATCTCCAAGGGCTGCTCTGTCTCTTAGGCAACATCACAGACACCTTGGACATCCAATGCAAATTCATTTGAATCTCCTATCGAATTGCATCATCTGTGGTGGACCCGTCCTTTGCATTTGCTTTTCCTCGCTTTGCAATTTTAAAGACACATTGCAATGACGTGAAGTGTACAGGTTGGGCTGGGTTGTGTCAGGGGGTGACAAAGTCACATGTCTTCAGTGTCCAGGCAGTAACAGCAAGCGAAGTGGAGGAGAGACCATAGTAAATTGGCCCCTTTAAAGGATAGTTGCCACTCAGTTCCAACTGGCTCTTAACCTGATAGAATTAGTCTCCATTGTTTCTAGAGGTATCAATATTTCAAAGGAATTTGCAGATACAGGTTTTATATGAATTGCTGCTATTTTAAAATGTTAGAAAGTTATTAAAAACCAATTACCGAGTACACTGCAGGCCAAAGGACACAACTGCAGTTCAGAGGGGGCCTGTCCCTCCCATGTTCCTTCTTAGCTGGGACTCCCAGAGGTTAAGCCCCTCCTCCCACTGCTCCTGCCTTTTGGCACCATCTGCTGGCCATTTGAAAATTGTCAACTACTCATTGCACCCCTATAAGAAAAACATACATATCATTTGTATGGAAGTAGCTAACTGCTCTCAAAAGTGAGCATTTGTTGGCTTGGGGACGGGGATGGAATTGCTTTAGCATGAATGCCACACTTCCCCTGGGAATTTCACAGGCATTAGAGGTGAATTTCACGCCAAGGCCGTGATGTTTACAGCTGTAGTATCACCCTGTCAGTGGCAGGCGTAGTTTGGTCCTCTAGCCGGCTGGGAGGGATCTCCCACAACATGTCTGTCCTTGCAACCCTTGAAACTGTGCAGCTTTGTGAAAAAGAGTGGTTTTCTTAAACAAAGAAGGTCTTCAGTCAAGGTCTAGGAATGCTGTGTTAACCACACAAGTTTTTTTATTGTTCCAGAACTACTCAACTTTTCTGGCTTTCTGGGAATAAGGAACAGTGAGCAAATGAGCTTTTGAGCATAGGAGGCTGGGCAGTTCTGAAGTGCAGACTCGCGGGGAAAAATAAAGCACGGTGTTTCCTAACCTGGCTGTTACTGTTTCTGCCTCTGTCTTTGGAAAGATCCCATTCAACTTTCCTCCCCCTCACACTCCTATCTTTTCAATCAGGGGAGTCTATTGAAGACAAAAACAGTTTAGAATAATTAAGCTATCTCGGCATCAATTCTCCTTCAACATATGCATTATTATATACCAAAAATGAACTGCAACCCCAGAGCGGTTATAAGTCCAATAATGGAGCTATCATTAGAGATACGCGAAGCACCAGACTAGTCTCCAAAGAACAAAAATTGAATTAGAAATTCAAATGTTCTTTGAACTGTGTTATAAAATAGTGAAACTGAATAAAACCATTTGTGCTTGGCAGCCAGCTCCAGTAATTAGATAATTAAATCATTGGAAAATCCTAGACTGTAGAGCATATCCTATTTGAGCATTTCATTTTCAAAATTGATGGATTATTCTCAGGAATAGAAATTTGTTGCAGACACAGTGGGGTGCGTCGATTTCAATGGGACAAAGGGAATCTAAGCAGAAGATCAAGGAAACCACTAAAAGCCTGTTCGTGTTATCTTCTGCTCTCAGATTTCACAGGAGTTATCAGTCCAAGAGTGGCTCTCAGTCCTGGCTACTCATTAGAATCACCTGAAACCCTTGACAAAAATATCCAGGCCCAGGCTCACTACCAGAGTCTGACTTCACCGATATGGACTAAAGGCTAGACACTGGTGACTCTAGAACATTCCAGGGTAAAAACGACTGCTCTTGGGTAATATGAATGCTTAGTCCATGAAGACACCTCCTGAAAATGTTGAGATAGCCAAGTATTGCAAATGACTTAAAGCCCTAACCTCAAACAATACACCTCATTCCCAGTGGCTAATCTGATATGTTCTCCGCTAGCTCCGATCGGTGCAAGAGCCATAGGGAACCTTTATACTGTGATATTCCCATTCCCCAATAACAGTTGAGTCTGTAATTAGTTAGCAACAATGGGAAAGGGTTTTGTCAAGGTTTTGTACCTAACAGATGTTTTCCTCCAATGATGATTATGTTTGCCTGTTACCTTTCCTGGTGTGATTTTGGGGGGAAAAAAGCCCCACTTTTTCTAAATAATGAACATCTTTTTCTCAAAATGCCACAGTACTTGGATTTTACCAAAGTCATTCTGTGTCTACAGAAGTGACTGCACTTCTGCCCATGCCTGTGGGTGGCAGAGAAGAGAGAAAAGCTTCTGGAAGAGATGGTACAGATTCTGTGGAGACTGGATAAGATTTGGCCTAAAGAGAGGCTGGAGACCTCCTACCTTTTTAATCCCCACAATTTTTTCCGAGGATCCAATCTCTTTATTCTTCTTCCTGATAAATTAAAAAAAAAATGGGTTGTTCTAAACTTAGTATTACATTTTTAGGACTCCTGAGGATTTACAATCTCTTCCCAGGAGAAGGAGGTAGAATATCAACATAAAAAATAAACATAGCAGTGCATAGAGCTCTTGTATTTAAAATGATAAAATTCAACACAGTTTCCTTAATGTGTCTTTTTATAAGATAGTGCCTCATGGAAATATTCCAGGGTCTCATTTATCTTCTGACATACATAGCAATGGTCATGGGAATGCGTATCCCTGAGAAAAGCACGTTGGAGTTTCCCATGTGTAACAGAACCGTTCCCCCTGCCAAGCAGAAATAATAAACAGAACTAGTACAGGGCTTGACATTTAGGCTACTTACAGTGTACCAAGCTCCAGTCAGATCTTCGGACAATGAGAGGCTAAGATGGGGAGACAGGACCCCAATAACATGGGTTATATAGCTGTGACCAGGCATCCCTTGTCTTTTTCCCTGAAGCCTGAATGAATGCATCCAGGTAGGATTGGGAGTCATTCTGAGGTCTGGCTTTCCTCCTGAAACTTCCTGATTTGTGGTATAACCACTGCTCCATGTCACTGCTACACAGCAAAATCGGTCCAATTACATTAGCCATTGTTGATAAAACTGATAGTCTTAGATTTTACCTAAGAAATCAAAATTGAGTATGTGAGACATAGGTCTGTTTTCATGCGGGTAGAATCAGGTTTAGGCAGTTTTCTAGTTTCTCCATGAAGTGATTTGGATAACTTATTTGGTCCAATTAAAATTTTAATGACAAATAGCATTATTTCTGTCTTAGAGTGCTTTTTAAAATGTCAAGGCGTTTTCATAAATTATGTTTCCAGCTATGAGGAATAACTACAGCTCTACTTGCCCTCCTACTACTGACAACTAGAAAACGGAAAAATAAGCAAATGTATGAAACAAGTATTTTCAGAAATTAGACAACACAAGACCGTGATCCTTAGGAGAATGGAAACAAATCTACAGTTGACCCAGTTTTCTGCCTAGAGGCACTTTTCAGATCTTGGTACAGGACGGAAAAACCCAAGCATGGCACTGACAGTGAGTCGGGGAGATAAGACCAAAGTTTAGAGAGCTGACACGGCTAGAATT